TTCTCAGGACAGTTCACTTTAGTCAAGGCTGTGACACAGGAAAATCTACAGTTGATTTCCTAATGGACAAAAGAAATGACTAAGATGACTAGCAAGGGATTGTTGTCATCTCTGTAGAGCATTAACTTCAGCATCACATGTGCATGACATGCAGTAGCTTCAGCACTGGACTGGAGTGAGAAGATGATGCTTCTTGATTTGGGATGTCTGGATAGCAGGATGACATCAACACAGTCTCCCTTGACATGTCTCCCTCCACATAGGAAGTGCTGAGACTCAGTCAGCTCATAAAATTTCACAGCAAAAACTTTTCAGAGTAACTATGAGCAGAAACATATCCTCCCTCCATGTTGTTGTGTCCCTCACTGGGACCACTTATTGGTGGATATCAGAGTTCTGCATGAATCTTGGTGTGTTTTTTTAAAATTAAAATTAGACTAATATTTATTTTATAAAATTAAAATGATATTACATGGGAAAACATTCTGTAAGTTTATTTTCACTATGTTGATTTGAAGGTAACTAATATTCTAATATTATAATTTAACAAGTTAGTTCTTGAGCAGACCATTTTTTTTATCTTTTTAAATTCATTTTACATACCAACCACAGATCCCCCTATCATCCCTCTTCTCACTCCCCTTTTCCTTCCCCCCACCACTCCTCCCCTCCTCCAAGAGGGTAAGTTCTCCCATTGGGGAACAGCTAAGCCTGGTACACTCAGTTGAGGCAGGACCTAGCCCCTCCCTGCTTTATCAGGGGTGAGCAAGGTGTCTGACCATAGGTAATGGGATCCAGAAAGCCGGCTCATGCACCAGGGATAGATCCTGATCCCCTGCCAGGGGCCCCTCAAACAGACACAGCTATACAACATTCTCCCATATGCAGAGGGCCGAGTCCGGTCCCATGCTGGTTCCACAGCTGTCTGTCTAAAGTTCCTGAGTTCCTTTGAGCTTGGTTCAGTTGTCTTTGTAGATTTCCCCATCATGGTCTTGACTCCCCTTGCTCATAGAATCCCTCTTCCCTCTCTTTGACTGCACTCCCAGAGCTCATCCTGGTGTATGGTTGTGCATCTCTGTATCTGCTTCCATCAGTTACTGGATAGAGGCTCTATGATGACAGGGTACTGATTACCAGGATAGGCCAGTTCAGGCACCCTCACCACTGTTGCTAGTAGTCTAATCTGAGGTCATCCTTGTGGATTCCTGGAAATTTCCCTAGCACCAGGTTTCTCTCTAACCCATCATGTCTCCCTCTATCAAGATATCTCATTCATTGCTCTCCCCAACCATCCCGTTCCCTCATGTTCTCATCCCCCCTCCCCGCCCCTATATGAGCCATAATATCCATGTGATTCCAATGTAGAATCATGCTGATCATTAAGACAGAGTTTTTCAGATGAATAGATAAGACTTGTTGATTTGATAGATGGACAGGGATGCCATTAGTATTCTATTAGATCACACAGTGCCCCGGGAGCTGCATCTTTTTTTCCTCCTAAGGTTACCATGTGGAAGTCAGCAGCAAGGGATAGATCAAGCAGCTGAGGGTGATGGCAGCCTCTGAGGACAAACAGGGCAATGGAGCAACAAGGAGGAGTATTTGTTCTCACCCTGCTCTGCAGGACCTTTCTAAACTGGTGCCTTTGGAAGGTCTTGCCAATTGTATTTTTAGTTTTGGTTTTGGGGCTTGGGAGGGAACCCAAGGCCTTGTGCATGCTTGGCAAGGACTCTACCACTGATCCACCTGACCCCTTACCCTCCTCCAACCATGGACCTTTTGTCAGAAAAGAAAATCTTAGGCATTTGGGGTGCCAGATGGTCAAGAAATCAAGTCATCTTGGAGCTGACCTTTTGCTATAAGTACTGGATGGGTCTAGTGAGGTGGCCCATGTGGTAAAGCACTTGCCGCCAGCCGTGATGACCTGAGAGAAAGGAGAGAACCAACACCTACAAGTTGTCCTCTGATTCCCACTGGAGCGGTGGCATGTGTGTGTGCATGTATGTGTGCAGGTGCACACACAGACACACCCAAATAACACATGTAAAATAAATTAGAAAGCACTTGAGTGTTCTGCCCCAAAAGTAGTTGAGTTGTTCCTTCTAGGGACAGCAGTTGAAAGCAGGTAGGCACAGTCCTCAGGTCACAACATGACCAAATATCTAGTTGATGCACCCCAAACGCCTAAGATTTTCTTTTCTGACAAAAGGTCCATGGTTGGAGGAGGGTAAGGGATCAGGTGGATCAGTGGTAGAGTCCTTGCCAAGCATGCACAAGGCCTTGGGTTCCCTCTCAGCCCGAAAACCAAAACTAAAACATAAATTCCTGTGGCTGTTTAGGGACTCATATAGTAGCTGACCTGTATTGCCTACCATCATTGAGGTAGGTGCCTCCTCATTCATTGTGGCCTAAGGTAGCCACTTGAGTGCTAGACTTTCCAGCCACAGAAACAGAGAGGAGGCCCTGCCCTTTAAGGAGAGCTCCCCAAAACACTTGACATTTCTGTTTATAACCCTTCAGCCAGTATATATATAGCTGAACCAGATCTGAGGAGGCTGGACAATGTTTCAACTCTGGGTGGCCCTGTGCTGGGTATAATAGGGAGCCCTGTCGTGAGCAAAGAGACAATGGGACAGAATGGCGGAAGCAGAAAGTCTCAGCTGCTGGAGTCTGAGGATCTTTCTCATTCTTGGTTTGACAAAGGTCAGAATATGCCCCTAGACCTGTCAGAATGAAACGTTTTTGGGGTGAGACCGAAGACCGCTTCTGAAAACAAAGACAAGACAGACTCCATACACTTCATCTCATGACCTTTTGCTTTCTTACTAATGTTAGGTCCGAGGGGAGTGTTGGTGTGTACATGTGTATGTGTGTGTGTGACATTTAAATCAGATCACATTCCCTTAGAAACAGCAAGCTATCTGAGGTGATGGAGGAAGGGGTGACCGTTAAGTGTTGAGTCACCAGCTAACACCATTTTTAACTCACTATGCCCTTATCAAAGTACCAGCAGGATATGGGCCAATACATACCATGGCCCCTTCCCTTTTGGTATTAATCTAGTCTCTTGTAGGATAATCATGTGCCTATTGACAATGCTTTCAGAAACTGCATGCAGTGGCACACACCTATAATCCTAGCACTGGGGAGGTGGAGGCAGGAGGATCTCTGACAGCCAGGACTACACAGAGAAATCCTGTCTCAAAAAACCCAAATCAATATTCATAATCATAATCATCATAACAATAATTTAATAAGAACAGTAATGAGAAAACTAGGTAGAATATCCAATGTATTTTATTTTATATGACAGATACAAAATGTCATTTCAGCAGCAGTCAGCATAAAAGCTTACAAATGAGACGTTTTATATTATTTGTCCTGGTTTCACAAGCCCAGTGTGTGTCTCATCTCATACAAGAGCTCAAATTTAGGAGATCAATACCTCAGAGTTGGCCATTCAGCCTCTCTACTGGTCAAGGAAGTTCCCTTAGATTCCTCTTGTCCTTACACTGACCAGATGTCATTTCCTGTGTCAGTCACCCTGCCCCTAAAGCCAAAGTCCCATGCAGTAGTTCTCAACTGGTGGGTCGTGAATCCTTTGGGGGTGAAATGACCCTTTGGAGGGGTTGCCTACAGCAGGAAAACACAGATTTTTACATACAATTTATAACAGTAGCCCTTTAATTCCAGCACTCGGGAGGCAGAGTCAGGTGGACCTCTGTGAGTTCAAGGTCACAAAGCAAGATCCAGGAAAGGGGCAAAGCTACACAGAGAAACCCTGTCTCAAAAAACCAAAAAAAACCAACCCCCCCTCCAAAAAAACACAAAAAACAAAAAACAAACAAACAAAAATAACAAAGAAAGAAAAAATTACACTTATGAATTAGCGACAAACATAATTTTATTGTTGGTAGTGTCACCAGAACATGAGGAACATATTAAAAGGTGGCAGCATTAGGGAGGTTGAGAACCACTGCTCTAGTGAGAGGTCAATAATTCTCAGTCATAAGAGCCAGAGACCCTGGTCTAGACAGATTCTAGTATCACCCGTCTTTGAAAGCTCAAGGCCTAGGCTTCTCAGCCTCTTTTCGCAACAGCAGCATAGTTGATGTCAGAAGCCCAGGGCTACAAGAACCATACTCCTGGCTGACAGAGCAGCTAAGAACATTTGTTGCTCTTCCAGAAGACCCTTGTTTTGGTCTCAGCATGCGTGTTGAGTGGCTTACAACTGCCTCCAATTCCAGCTGTATAAGATCTGACAAAGTCTTCCTTCCTGGAACAGCCTCAAATATGTAGAATCCACACAAACAGATTTCTTCCCTCCCCCCATACACACATAAATAAATAAAAATAAATCTTTTTTTTTTTTTTTTTTTTGAGACAGGGTT